CTTTTTGCTTATGTGGTGCTGAGGAATCGAACCCAGGGCCTTGAGCATGCAAGGCAAGCGCTCTACCACTGAGCCACCTTCCCAGCCCTACTTTTTGGATTTAACATCCACTTATCAGGGAGACCATGTGCTCTTGGCTTACCTCACTCAACATGATTTCTTCTAGTTCCAACCATTTCCCTGTGAATAGCATTATTTTGTCCTTTCTAATGGCTGCATAATATTCCATTGTATGTAGATACCACGATTTTTGGATCCACTCATCTGCAGTGGGGCATCTGGGTTGATTCCATATCTTGGCTATTGTGAACAGTGCTGCAATAAACATGGAGGTGCACGTGTCCTTGTATCCTGGTTCCTGTTGTTCAGAATAGATGCCTAGGAGTGGTATGGCTGGGTCATAGCGGAGGTCAATATTTAGCTTTCTGAGGACCCTTCAGAATGTACAAATGGGTAATAGCAGAGGTCAATATTTAGCTTTCTGAGGACCCTTCAGAATGTACAAATGTACATTCCCACCAGCAGTATAATAGGGTTCCTTTTTCTCCACATCCCCTCCAGCATTTGTTGTTGGCTGACTTTAGGATGTGGGCCATTTTGACTGGGGTAAAGTGGTATCTCAGGGTTATCTTTATTTGCATTTCCCTTATAATCAGGGATGGTGAACATTTCCTCATGTGTTTCTTTGCCATTTTTATCTCTTCTTCTGAGAAGTCTCTCTTTAATTCCTTTGCCCATTTAGTAATTGGTTTGTTAGGTTTGGGAAGGATTAATTTCTTTTTTTTGGGGGGGGGGCAGTCATGGGACCTGAACTCTGGGCCTGGGCGCTGTCCCTCAGCTATTCAGCTCAAGGCTAGCACTCTACCACTTGAGCCACAGCACCACTCCAGGCTTTTTCCTTTTTGCTTATGTGGTGCTGAGGAATCGAACCCAGGGCCTCAGGCATGCAAGGCAAGCACTCTACCACTGAGCCACCTTCCCAGCCCAGAAGGATTAATTTCTTGAGTTCCCTGTATATACTGGATAATAACCCTTTGTCTGATATATTGCTGGTAAATATTTTCCCCAGTTAGTTGGCTGTCTTTCTAGTTTGGTTGCTACATCTTTAGCTGTGCAGAAACTTTCTATTTTAAGGTAGTCCCATTTAAGTCTCTCTCCAATTTGTTGTGACCCTGGAACTCTGTTCAGAAGTTCTTGCCTGTGCCTATAAGTTCAAATGTCTCTCCTACTCTGTCCTGCAGCAGTTTCAGAGATTCAGATTTGATGTTAAGGACTTTAATCCATTTTGAGTTTATGTTAATGCATAGTGACAGGCTGGGGTCCACTTTTAGTTTTCTGTATGTGGCCGCCCAGTTTTCCCAGCACAAGTAGTTGAAGAGTCTGTGCTTCTTCCACTGTACATCTTTGGCTCCTTTGTCAAATATCAGCTGACTGTAGGCGTGTGGTTTTATTTCTGGATCTTCTATTCTATTCCATTGGTCTTTGGGTCTGTTTTTGTGGCAGTACCAAGCTGTCTTTGTTATTATGGCTCTATAGAAGTTTGAAGTCTGGCATCAAGATCCCTCCCATGTTTCTTTTTTGCCTAGAACTGTTTTGGCTATTCTAGGTCTTTTGTTGTTGCATATGAATTTTTGGACCATTTTCTGTATTTTAGTAATGAACATCACTGGGATTTTAATACGAATTGCATTGAATTTGTATATTAATTTGGGCAGTATGGCCATTTTCACTATATTAAGTCTGCCTATCCAAGAACATGGAAAGTCTTTCCATTTCCTGGTGTCTTCTGTAATTTCTTTATGTTTTTATTCTTCTCATTAAATAGTCCTTTTACATCTTTTGTTAGGTTAATTCCT